GGCAGTATGCAAAGTGTTTCTACAAAGCTCCTTTTCATCACCGCTGCAGTTACTGAGGAGAGGGAAGAGACTGTTGTTGGCCCCTTTCCCTTCTGTCATTGTTTTTCCCTTGCTTTAAATTTGCACTTCAAAATTCAAGTTATTCACAATAAAGACATAACTTTTAACTTTACTAGGTAGCATAATGGACAAAGAGGCAGAAGAGCCAAACTCCATGGCCTCAGGTTTCTCACAGTGACAGCATCCAGAAATGTTTTGCGCATAAGTGAAGCAGTCGGTGGTGATGCCAGATTGCTGGGGGTCCTGGAAGCTGTTCATGGCCTTTCTCCTTGGCTCTTTCATCAGATCTTCACTGCATCCTGTGCAGACTCCCTTCTTCTGTTGAACTTGTCAACCCCTGCACTGGAATGATAAATCTTGCATGCGAGGACCATGAAGAAGTCCCTCGGCAAATGGATGGTCTTCAGCACATAATCACTTCGTTTAAAAAAGTTTTTTTTTTGTTCTGAAGACTAAGAGGGTGTGTGTGTGTGTGTGTGTGTGTGTGTGTGTGTGTGTGTGTGTGTGTGCCTTATTTTGAGAAGTTTTGGTCAGGTACTCATTTTAACAACTTGCAAATGTCAACACTACCACCACCCTATCCCCAGCACAGATACACACACGCACACAGCACGGCCGCTGCATATTTTGATGTTGTCGCTCGGGCCACACTCAACAGTTGCTCAGGATCAGGCTCAGGAGCCACTGCTGGCAGTGCTCTGGGACCGGATGATGCAGCGGCGTATGACGTGGCAAATAAAGTGGCATATGATGCGGCAGCGGTCTGCCACATATTTGCTCCTTCCCACTTAACGACCTCTCTGGCCTGTTTGGTGACCTTTTATCTATCGCTGACTCTCATATTTTATTTCATATACATGTACACATACGTGTGTGTGTGTGTGTGTGTGTGTGTGTGTATGTATGTGTGTGTGTGCGCGTATTTTTTTAAGGGGGCCAGAGAGCTGAAGGGACTGAGTGTGCGCTCAGTGCCTGTGGGAGCCTTGGGTTCAGTCCCCAGCACCACGTGGTCCTCCACAAACTACGAGGTGCGGCTCAAAAGCCAAGGAGAAGGCAAAGAGGTTGATTATTTCAGGTGCTCATTTTCAGGTTTCAGTTCTTCTGTCGTTGGTAAGGGTCGCTTTTGCAGCTAGCTTACATTCGTTTGCTCTTCTGTTGCTCTAAGACAGACTCTGATCAAATCCATCTGAAAGTACAGACAACTTAGAAAGGGCCTTTTCCTTTACGGAACAAAACGTGACTCCACCGATAGTACATATTTCGGATTGTGATATTACGAATCATTCCTGTAAAGTTGCTGCAGAGAATAAGATCTCAGATTGTACCATATTTTACACAGAAAGAAATAAATGCTTATTATGAGATGGTTTTTCTGCTGAGATTACTGGGAACATTTTTACATCGTTAGAAACGAGTTTGTTATCCTGAGTTAAACTGTTTTGTGTTCTAGTGATATGTTTGTAATTCGGTGTTTGTGGAGTGTGTGTTTGTGTGTATGTATATATGTCTGTTAAGGTTCATGTGTATGTAATTTCATGGAGCAGTAGCACAGCAGGGAGGGCGTTTGCCTTGCACGCATCCGACCCAGGTTTGATTCCTCCTTCCCTCTCAGAGAGCCCGGCAGACCACCAAAAGGATCCCGCCCACAGGGCAGAGCCTGGCAAGCTCTCCGCGGCACGTTCAGTACGCCATAAACAGTAACAACAAGTCTCACAATGGAGACGTTACTGGTGCCCGCTTGAGCAAATCGAGGAACAACGGGAGGACGGAGCTACAGTGCTGCTGCCCAGGTGAAGGAATGATGGACACTTTCCATCTAACCATATTCATCTCTGATACATCTTTTCATGGTGGGTTTCTGTAGGATCTGGGGAATTTTCTTTTCTTTTCGCAAGCACCCGTCTTTTTGTGTTATTAGTCACTCACAGCATGTGCTGTTTAGCCATCTGTTAACCAGTAGTAGCGCCTGCGAAGAGGAAGGTAAGAGCCAGGAAGTCAAGGCACAGCAGATCGCCACAGAGCCACTGAGGTCTGTGACATCAAATGAGGCCTTGTTGAAGCCAGTGGCCAGAGGCGCCGTTTGGGAAACTGAGTTCTGGCAGTAGTCGCGGGGGCCGGGGGCTACTCCTGTCTCAGGAAACGGACTCCACACTGGATGATGTTCACAGAGAGACGAAAGGAGTTGGGTCAGCAGCTGTCGTGACCTGAGCAAGGGAAGGGACCTCTCTGGCCAGGCACTGCAAGAAGTGGCTCGTGCAGGGCCTGAAGCAAACGGAGAGTTGCCTGTTGGTCATCGGATGCTGAGGAAGTTCTCTGTGAGGGTGGGACCCCCCCCCCCCCCCGGGGGCTGCTCTGAGGAGCCCTCCCCGCCTGGCGGGAAGGGCAGTGCTGAGTTCCCTGTTCTCAGTTGCTGAGCATCTGTGTCATGACCTGGTGGCAGGGTCCTGTGTTTGGTTGGGTTTTATCTGCGAAAGGAGAGGTCAGATCCACTCCCAATCGGAAGTGGGGAGCCCCCTGACCTTGGTGGAGAAGAAACGGAGTTGTAAGGACTTAGAAATGAGCGTGTTCTCCTTTCTGGACTGAATGTTCGGGGGGGGGGGGCGGTGCACCCTCAACAGTTTGCGCAGGTGGTCGGATTCATTGCTCGAAGCACACAGGAGATGGGAAGAATCGCTGCGGGGGAAAGTGATTCTTGGGGAACTCGACTGACTCTCGAGACGCAGAGCAGCGTGCTCTGAATTCGGGGGGGGGGGGGGGGGCAGACCACTGGCATGCAGCTCCCGGGGCTGGGTCTGCCACCACGGGCGAGTCCAGTCCTCTGGCTCCTGTACCTCCCGGCAGTGTGGGTCGCATGCTTCTTGGACAGACTGCCGAGAGTCGGGTGCTCTTGGTTTTGTTCTTTGGGGGGTGGCCCTGCCGATGTCACTCTTCCATCCTGCGCCAGGCATGCTCACACCCCAGTGTGCACGCACCGTCACTGGGCTTGGCTTTCTCCCATTTTGGCGCACCCGCTCCTGCCAGGGCGAGCGGGTATTTCGCTACCCAGAAGGTGTGTGCCGTGAACACGCGTTTTCGAGCTCCCTCCTCTGAGGCGTCATGCCAGCTCACATCCTTCTTCCTGACTTCCTCCTCCTCTTCCCTTCAGCGCATGCCCCTTGGTGTGGAGGGTGACAGGAGGTCCACCAATGACTTTCCCTTCCCTCTACAGAGAGTTCGCTTTACAGTCTCGTTTTCCTGTAGATTCAAATATAAAATGACTAAAGTTTTAGTTACTCGTAGTGTTTTCTCCGAATGAATTTTTTGGGGGCTGGGGTGTGGGAGGGGGCCACGCGAGGCACCGCTCTGGGCTTCTGACTCTGCTCAGGGATGACTCCTGGCGGGGCTCAGGGGACCAAACGGACTGTCCGGGATCAAACCCACATCAGCCCCGTGCAAGAAAAGCACCTTCTCCTTCCTCTCTCTCTGTGAAAGAATTTGAGTTTTATTCTATAGATGACTCATCATTCCTTTTCAGTTTTGATGCTTACTCATTTTTATCTTCAACAGGCAGTTGCAGTGTAGTTCAGATGAACTCTAAACATGGTTTTTTTAAAACCAGGCTTTTAAATGTAGGTTTCTAGGAAGCAGGGAATAGTTATTTCATACATGTGCACATGTGTTTCTCATGTTCTACCACTCTGGAGGAAGGTTTTGAGAAATGGCGCTTTAGTCTTCAGGATGTTTTCACCTGTTTTCTTGAATGCTGTGTGATTTATTAAAAATCTACTCAGCAGGGATTTTTTGTTTGTTTTTACCGGAAAATGGCGTTGGCCCTTTGCTGCCGGGGTGGTGCCCCCCCCCTTCCCCTGCCCCACTTTGTGTGCTGTTTAGCAGAGGCTGATGGAAAGGGGCGATCCGGTGTCTGCCCTAGTCCTGCTCCTTTTGATTATTTTATTTTTTTAAATGCTAGTTTGTATCTTTGTTAATACATAAGCAGTTCGAGCAGCGGGGAGTTTGATTTCTCCCACCATCTTGAGGAATGATCCTTGGTAAGGTTGGATTTCAGTCCTTTCAGTGTAGCTAGTCGGAATTTTCGTTACTGGGCTTAGGCTTTCATACGAGTGCACAGCATGGGAATGTCACGAAACATTCCGAGGGAAGGGACTTCGCGAGCAGTTAATCTCGCCATTGTATCTACGTTGATTGGAGCAGAGACACCGTGCATCTCCAGTGGAGCAGTGGTTTCGGTGACACCAGTGATAACTAGGACTGGGGTGACAGCAGTACATGAAAGGGAGGTGGAGCCACGGTATCGCCAATGACCAAACGTGTCGCCTTCAGCCTCGTAGAGTTGCCAGCAGTGTCCCCGTTTGTTTTCCGGGCAGTCTGTCACCTGGGGCCCCAAGGCTGGGTTCGTCCAGAGCACTCCTTGTCTCAGAAGGAACAGCACAGGTATGCACACATGACTCTGTGTGTGTATATACATATACATATACATATACATATATATATGACTCTGGAAAATCGTTATTTTTTAAATTAACTTTTCGCCTTCGAAGAACTAAACATAAAGTTCTTTTGAATACCACCATCGAATCATTGATGTTTAAAAATGTCAGTTTTTGACTTTTCGTCTTTTGACCGACGCATTTGAGTGTTGGAATCTTTAATGAACGATTATATTTAAGCTTACCTAACATGCTTCTCTCTTGTTGAGTACTAAAGCTTTCCAGGAGACCGTGGATAGTGCCTTTAAAGTGTTGGGCTGGGAATGCAGCTCGCCGTCGAGGCGTGGCCTGCGTGCCCACATGCTGTTGCCAGGGCCCTGGACACCCCGTCTCATTTTCCTTTTGGAAGCAGGTGGCGCCAGTCACGTGCCGTCTATTTTAAACCTGCGCTGAGTGGCTGGACGGTCAGGGGCCCGTCTCAGGTGCTTACTGCTCTTGTGTTTTCTGTCGTAGGCGGAGGGAGAGGACAGTCTGAAGAAGATGCAGCTGATGGAGCTGGCGATTCTGAACGGCACCTACAGAGATGCCAACATCAAATCACGTAAGGATGAGGCCAGGCTGTGATGGTGTCGGCTGTTTCGGTCCACCAACCTTTCTCCATTGGGCAGCCTAACACATGCCACATGAGCTGGAGTATGTGCCACTTGATAGGGGAGAAGGAGCCCCTACATGACTGCTTTCACAGGCGAGGGACTTGGTCTGGGCTCGGTTCAGTTTGGAGTCCATAGACTTACTATTTTGATGAAATGTCAGCTTCAGAATTGGAAATTTTTAGGAAATTTCTGATTTCTTGAACTTGATATTGAAAGATTCCAGCTTATTACATTTATGCAGAAGACGGCTCTTCATTTTTCGAAGCTAATTTGGAATCTGTCTGAATGCAGTGATCTTTCTGTTGAATACCTCTTGTTACCCTGCTTGCATGTTTTCCCTCCAGTGTTTTTTCTCTGTTGATTTCATATGTGAGTTCACAGAGAGCAGTCTTCGATGTTTCTAATCCCATTTTCCCTTTATCTGAATCTGTTAAAATGACAAGTTTGCTATTTCAGAATATAATGTGATGGTTTCTGTTCTGAGATGATCTAAGCCGTACACATCTTTCATAAATGTAATATGCTTAAATCACTCGTATTTAAAAGAAAGAAACTTCAGTTCTAGCCAACTTTCCGAGTTGTAGGTAATGAGGAATGGGACGTCTTAAAATACTTTTTGAAGTTAATTCTAGAACAAAGTATAGAATAGTATCTCTGGTGGTTATATGACTTCTAAAAATTAGCCTTTAACTTCAAATTAAAGCTGCTCTTGCGAACTTTACCAAAACTGTATTTCTGTGGACTCCAATTAGAAAATATTTTAACCTCCTTTAATGCAAGTGTTCCCTTATGCCTCTGCATGTGTGTACTTGCAGCATCGTGAGATCTTAAAAACAGATAGGCCAAGTATATGAACTCAGCGTGACTTGGTTCCGTGGTCTCATGCATTGTTTTCCAGTGGCTTTTTAATTCATGCACATTGATTCTTGGTCACCTTGGGCGAGGGGAAGCTGTTTGCATTTGGTTGGTGTGCTTTGGCCTTTTGTGTGACCGGCGCATGTACTAATGATTTCCTTTTATTTTTCTTCCTTCTTGCTTTTCCTTTTCCTCCTTCCCTCTCGTCTTCCCTGTTTTATGCCGCTGCCTCTGTGCTTCCTCCTGAATTTCTTTGCCTACTGTAGCAGCCCTTGCCTTTTCTCTTGCAGCAACAGCCCAGGCTGCCCCACGGATCATCACGGGGCCCGCGCCTGTCCTCCCGCCCGCCGCCCTGCGCACCCCTGCGCCCGCCGGTCCCACCATAATGCCTTTGATCAGACAGATACAGACCGCTGTCATGCCAAACGGGACTCCTCACCCGACTGCTGCCATAGTTCCTCCCGGGCCCGAGGCTGGTTTGATCTACACGCCCTACGAGTACCCCTACACCTTGGCACCAGCAACTTCTATCCTTGAGTACCCTATTGAGCCTAGTGGTGTATTAGGTAAGTCGTTCTTCTGACACACTGTGACTTTGGTGCTCTAGACTTGGAAGCAGCGGTTCTAGGGAGGCAGAACACGTTTCCGTGAGGAGAGACTGAAGCCTGAGTTCGTGTCCCTTCAGTCTCGTAAGGGTCCCCCTGAAACGATTGTGCCGTTAGTCCCACACACTGGCCTGTGCCCCCTGTCAGTCACACCAGCCCAAGTTAGATAAGCCTTTTGTCTCAGTTCCACGTAGTCACCCGCTAAATTTTGAACCTCTCTGTGAAAATGTGTTGAGGTCTTTGGAAACATTCTGTGAGAAATTCTAGGGTCATTTAAAATAGGAAAGGTAGCCAGGCAGATGGTTGACTTCTTAATTTGTGTGGGTTTTTTTCTTCCTTCGGAAGCCCTTGTTTATATAACCCTAAGAGAGCCCTGAATTGTAGTAGTGCGGAATGGAATTGCTGAGTCAGATCCCAAGTCACTGAATTCCAATTACACTTAAGGCAAAAATTGAGATCCTACTGTAAACGCTTGGTTTTACGTGATCAAAAAGTGTTGTGCCCGAACAAAGACATCACTGATGCCTTTTCTTTATAGAGTGGATTGAAATGCCAGTCATGCCTGATATTTCAGCCCATTGACTTGCTGGACGAAGGACTGGAATGCAGCAGCTGCTGTAACACGACCAGTCAATGCGGAACACACTGTCTCTGGGCTGCCCCTGGGTTTTCCAGACAGAATCCGAATCCTTTGTTTTTCCAGACAGAGCTGAATACTTTTTTTCCTTGAATTGTACATGACCATGGTGCTGCATGCATGCTGTTGACTTTTAGGACTTTGATCTTTCAAAAAATTTTTTTCCAGCCTTAATATTGACTTAAAAAATTCGAAAGTCTCTAATGAACCTGGACACTAAGATTTAAACTTGAAAAGTCATTGTTCAGTTAAAGCCACGATGCTCTGTATGTTATCTGTGTGTGCATGCACTCTGGTGCCCTTGGTTTCTCCAGCAAATACATGGATTGTACTTGTTTCCCGTTCATCTCTAAATCACTGTACGAAGCGTTGTAGGTCAGAATTCTGCCCTAGAGCTGTTGACGAGAGGCTTGTTTTGTTGCACATTCTTAAGCATTTTTAAAATAACCTGTAACATGTAACCCGTTTGCCTTTCCCTTTCTGTTAACCTCTGTCTCGTGGCCCCACGCCTGCCCCCCTCCCCCAGAGCTCCTCTCTGCTGCACGCACAGCGTCTGTTGGAGGAGTTTGACTGTTGCTTCCTGCAGGGCTGGCACTCTTAGCCACCAGCTGCTGTTCCAGCACTCTCCATGCAAGATCTTGCTGATTTTGCTTCCTGGAATTACACTCGTACGAGATTAGTTCATCTGAAACGGAAAGGGGGTGATGGACCAGTTTACTGCTTAGAAACAGCAAGAGGCACTGCAGTAACATTTGTTTTTCATTTGAAATCGTGTGTTTTTTCTCTTGTTGGGAAAGTTTCATTTACAGTACGTACTTACCGGACCAACAAAATTAAAAGCCAAAGAAAAGATGCCTGATCGACATTCTTAAGATGAACCATGAATATCAAATGAAAACCATCCATTCCGATCAGTTGTATTTCTCGCCCTGCCACCTAAGCAGTAAAACGCGCAAACTGAGAAAATGCCTTCAAATTGCCAAGTTGTGATAAATTTGCACACAGATAACATGCATGCCCTCTGTCAAGTCTCACACCGTGCTATTTTCAAAGCAGTGCCCTTCAAAAACAGATGCAGACAGTGTGTTGGTGGTAGTGAGGAGATTGGTATTAGCATCAAGTCTTCATTGATGACTAATTTTTAATTCCCTTCCTTTTATCTTCAGGTATGGCTTTCCCAACGAAAGGCTAAGAATTCAAGAACGGTCTTAACTGAACCCTCATCAGATCTGAATTTAACAAATGCTTAGTCTCAGCCAGCCTTCGGGGCGGGGGGGCGGGGGGAAGCTTAGCCTAGCAGTCAGTGACTTACTTGCACTTTTTTGCACACTGATAGAAAGTAAAAACGTGTCATTAATTTGGTTTAGTCTGTCACCTTACAAAGTAACGGTCCTTTCTAAAGGAGTGTATAGTAGTATACTGACTGCTAAGTGTACTATACTGTTTGCTTTACTAATCACCTAATTCATTGCAGTTCATACTTATTGACTCAGAGTTTCAAACCACAGTCTGTAGGCTTTAAGAATTGCTTTTAAACCTTGTTAAGTGATAAGCTCTGGAAGTGGTCTTACGGTTAGCAGGTAATTGTCAGTATTAAACGTGGCATTATTGAAGTCGTCCTGCCGCAAGAGAGGCACTTCCGTGAATATGTGACTAGTACAGCCTTGAACTAGGTGTGACTGATCGAATCCATGAGATGCTGTAACTCGGGCCCGTAAACGAACGGACAAAGAGAGGTTAAGGCCAAGACTTCCGAAACGAATGCAGTATTAATAGACGCGTAGAATCCGCAGCACACGGTTGAGTTTTAAACTACTGTGCCTTAACGTGTTTCTCGCAGCGAAACTTTTGTAGTCAATGAACATTTGAAGTCCTTTTGATAAACCTGCTGTTACTGTTTGTTTCCCCCCGTGAATGTTTTCTAACTTTGTCTTGGTGATTGCAATTTAACTAGGTGCGGTGGCCACTAAAGTTCGGAGGCACGATATGCGTGTCCATCCTTACCAAAGGATTGTGACCGCAGACCGAGGTTAGTGTAGTTCTGCAGTTCTTGTGTTTAAGAAATGCGTGGGGTGTCCGTCACATGCGCAGCACCACACCTGATGATGAACGACTCCTGCTTGCCTGCACACTCTCTGTTTCCCTTTCCCAAACTGACGGGTTGATGGGCAGACCCGAGGGTTGGGCGTGTGGGAGGGGTTTTTGTTTTTCTTGCTCCCTTCTCTTTTAACTTATTGAGTCCTCGTTGAGTATGTGCTACGATTTATTCCTACTAAAACACAGATGAGTCCATTTGGGGAGCTCTGAAATTTCGATGTTGCCTTAATTATTTTTCAGCAGTCATTTTTGCTAGAGTTTGCTTTTTTAATTGTTCGGAAATGTGGGGTTGGTTTTGCAAAATGAACTGAGCTGATGGTGCTTTGATGAGAGAAGCCAAGGAGTATACGCCTCCTGTGTCCTTGTGGAGAAAACTGAAGATTTAGTTTCCATTTTCCTTTTTAATGAGATATTTGAGCCACTGTACAAGCATGGGGATGTACTTGTCAAGTCCTTAGCGGAGAGCAACAGAGTCAGGACTGCGAAGATGATTTTGATGCAGTTGACTTTTTTGTAAATCAGCAAGTCAGTTCCCTTTTATTCTGGCATTCTCTTGCCAAATGGATCCTTTGATTTTTGCCACGTGCTGCTAAAAGACGCTGTCTGAAGGCAGATGGTCTCTTCGAGTTCTGTGGTGACGCAAATCCAGCTGTTTTGAGTATCTTTTTTGATAAGCCTGTGACTGGAAAATAAGTCTTCATTTTTCTCCTTTTCAGCATTTGCCATAGGGCCCTGCATATACCCCCTTGGACCCTTTGATACATTATTGAGGAGTGATATTTTCGGTTTATTGATATTGAACTGTAAATTTTCCATCACGACACAAATGTGAAACAAAGTAGAAAAGGAGCGAAAGCTTTTGCAAGCTTCTGCCATGGCACATTCACTACTGACTGGATTTGGTCAAAATCTCTAAGATGAGTGGGGGAAAGTGATGGCTACACACTCTGATTCTGTCCATCTTCTACGAAAGCCCTACCTGCTTTGCGTGGGTATCTGGGACACCAGCAGGTAGTGGACATAGCTCATTGTCCAGGTCAGACTAAGGTAACTTCCCTCAAAAGTTTCGAGGTGCATCTTATCCAGCACCCTGCTCTGAAAGCACCCGGGGAGCTTGGGCCCGGCAGTGAACCAGTCGCCGGCTCCGTGATCCTCGGTGGGGAGAATAGACCTTGCCAGGGTGTTCCTGCACCAGCGGAAATGGCGAACGTTTCTTTTGAAGTCGCACTAAGTTTTAAGAGAGGAGCTATTATCCACGAATAACTGGAGCTCCCCCCGCCTCCCCCGGCCTCTCCACAATAGTGTCTAAAGTAGTTCTAAGTCCGTATTTTCCAGTTTTGTGGGTCTTTGGTCCCCCCTCCTCTGCCCTTTCCCTCATTACCCCTTTTAGGGGGTTATCTCATCATTTTGGTGTAAAAGAATGATGATTGGCCTACTCAATACTCCAGTGCCTTGAGCTAGTTGGAAATGTTGGAAATGATGACACATTCCATGCATGGCTCTTCTGTAGTTACATGCATTTTCATTAGAATTTTGTTCAACACACAATGTCAGCAAACCGAAAAGCTACTTTTTTTCTTCTCTGGCAGAATACTTGTATACTGCTGTTGCTATACTGTACGCACTCACTGGGTCTAAGGGAGTTGTCTGAAATCCTTCACGTAAATTATTTTATGATACTACTGTTTTCTCTATTTTTGAGGTTTTCTTAAAGAAATTTTATTTTTAATTTTTGGAGGAAAGATTAATAGATTAATCGTTCATTTAATGATTTAATGCAAGGAAGCTCAGCCCTTGAATAGATAACCATGTAATTCTCTATGAGCGTTTAGAGTACCACGTGGTTGACAAGAGATCATTTTTTTAATTAAAAATAAATCCACTTCTCTACGTATTTCAGAACCTAATTTAAAGCTTTTAAAAAGACCAACTGATTTTTTTTTTCCCTGTAATGAACCATAAGTGACTTTGCACGGCTCTTGTCGTACCTGTGTGTACTGTTGGAAGCCAGCCTTAGCAGAGGACGGCCTCGGGGTACTGGGATACACGCATTCATGGTAGCTTGTTTTGTTGATGTATTCCACATTCAAAGAAACGCTTAGGAGTTTTTTCGAGCAGGGACGTTTCAGAGGCATTGTCATCATTTGTGTAAGAAACTCCATACAATTTTAATCAAAATTTTAAGCTGCAGAAAATAGTGCTTTAAGATTCAGCGTTGCTGGAGTTTCTGTGAAGCATTATGACCATGTCCTGGTAAACATTTACTTCCTCTGATTTTGGAATACAGTTTTATACAAAATTCCATTTCAGAAAACCAGGGAAGATTTGGTCAAACTGAAAATACAGTATTTTTGTAGTGTTTCTACTGTCCTGAAGGACAGACTCTAGAAGCATGGTTCTGCTGCTGTCACATGAAGGTACAGCAGTCTCTTCCCTGGGGCATTCCGCCTACTGAGTCTTTGATTCGTGAAGTGGCACAGAACCTACCTTTGCACTGAGTAGTATCTCCTCATCCACGCCTCCTCTGCATTAGTCATGGCAACAGTACAGAAAATTCTTTCAAACCTCAGAATAGAGCAGAAATAATTAAGCTGTTGAATGAGTCTTAAAAATCATACTACTGTTAAGTGGACCAAGTTTGGTGAAGCAGAATGTGACAGAGATGAATTAAGGAAGGGTGACCCTAATAGGACCTTGGGAATGATAACTTTTCCACTTGAGAACTACTTTATGTTTTACTGTAATTTTTAATTTTTTTGTTCTGTTTGATATTTTGCAAAAGAAAATAGTATTTACAGGTGGCTTCTTTTAAAATATAAAAATATAAAGCAGGAATGTATATGAAATGTCAGATTTTATTGTATTTGCAGAGTATTAGCTTTGAAATTGAATAAAGAAAGCTGTTTGTAGTTTTAAAATGCCTTATTGGTATCAATTAGAAATTTCTTCTATTTTTTGATGTACTTAGGGCTTTTTGAGTATAGAATTTTAAATGGCAGGATTTTACAGTGTTTACATGCAAGTGCATTTTATAAGTGTTCTATATGTGTAAAATAGTATTTTCGACTGGAAAGTGTTGGCGAGCGCCCAAGGCCTGGCCTCTTCCGGTCCCCACGATGTTGCCTGCCCTGCTAGTCTACAGTTTAGTATTGCTTTGTATCATGAGGCCAAGAAATTCCATGTTGTTTGTAAATAGAATAATTGAAAAAGCAATAAACATTTATTGAACAAAAGAAACCTGTTTGGCCCAGAGTTTATGTTGAACCAAATTGTTCATCAGAAAATGAAAATCCTTTAGATCCATTTCTATTAATCATCAGTTATTAATAATCACATCCATCATTAATAGTTGCTTTAATGCTTGCATCTGAGAGAATACTAATGCTTAATAGCAGTCAGACCCTGGTAGCTGCACTGACTGTTTCGAGGTCCCGGTACCAAACCTATTCATCGTTGTTGTTTTCCAATTTCCTTCATTGACTGCTACTAACTATTAGTTGTTAGTCGTATTTTATTTCTATTTTTTCCTGTTAACCAGTTGTTTTTTGTTTTTGTTTTTGTTTTATTGTTTTGGTTTTGGGGTTTTTGTTTTTGTGGGAGTGGGCTCTCCTTCATTTGTTTAAATCATGATATGAAATTGTCATGATTTTTTATTGTATTCTGTAGATGGTGTCGAATCAGTTTGTCAGAATTAAACATGCTTTTTTTTATTAGTTGTGATTAGTTTTTCATGTTGTCATTAAGCCGTCACTAGCTGAGACTAATCTCTTCTCTATCTTTCTTTTCTTTTTTGTTTTTTTTTTTGTTTTGTTTTTTGTTTCTAACCACCCAGCCGCCACCGGCAACTAACCTATGACCTTCTGACCTCTGAACTCTTCACCCAATGATGACCTGACCATGCCTGCCTGCTGATCAGTTAACTGGTAATCGCCTTTGCTTGCCTGTCGTCAGTGCAGCGAGCTGAGGCACTTGTCCGTTCGTCTTACCATCTAACCAAACAAAAGACAGAGAAATGGTTGTCCTCCAACTCAGCTTTTCCCCCCCTCCTGATTGGGTGAAAGTGGTTCTAGAATCTGCACTGAATAGTAGTAAAGCAATAAGGCCCAATTCATCCCGCAGCACTGATCATCTGTCAATGTCCCACCCTAAGCGAACGAACGGTAAGAAGGCCTCGCTCGGAAGGGGAGCCCGGCGGCCCTTAGCTACTCAGTGACAGAGGCAGTTACTGTGAGAGACTCCTAGGACCTTCTCTCCTCAGAGCGAGTCGCAGCTCTCTGAATGTACTGTGTGGTGATGCATCATGCATGAACCTTCGGTCAGGGATGTCATTGGTGAAGTGATTTCGAAAAGTATTCAAAATTTGATATGCTCTTTAGTCACTACAGTGCCCTCAGAGGGCAGAAGTTGCAGCCTTTTTTATATCATAGCCTGCCAAAAATGGAAGTATTAAAAGTGTGCCATGAAAGAAAAAAAACTTAATAAAGAATTTTAAAACGTAATTCAAAGAACAAAACTGCAACACTATTTTTAAACAGACAGATCTCCGAGTTAAAATTACTGAACCTTTATTTTCCAACTCCTTAAAAAGTAGTACACGAGAACAAGGTACATGCATTATGTGTCACATTACTGGGCAAACTGTTCAAGTATTTTTTTTAAACCTCCCTGTATAGAAGAAAATCATTAAGGATGTAAAAGCCATGCTTGCCTATTTGCTGTATACATGTAATGAAATTGTAGATAAAGTGTAGTGCATTGAAACAAATGAACAAAAAGTAGATACTTTTACTATACAAGGGTGCTGGTGCAGAAAAAATATATATATTTTTGGAAATGTAGCATTTTATACTTTCAAGTGTTATAAAAAAAAAAGAAAAAGAACAAAGAAACCCTTTATTTCATTAAATAATTTTTTCCGGTGGTTGTCAAGAAACAAAAGACCAAAAGAGCCTTTTTGTCTTTCTTTTTTATTTTTTAAGTATTGGAATAAGTCTAAAGAAAAGAAAGTGCCTTATTTTCCTTCATGGTCACTTAGTCTAAGCGTCTCGTAAGATCAGCTCCTCCCTCCAAATATGAGTTCATGCATGTTACTCAGTCGCCCAGTATGTGAAGGAAGACAGGAGGGGAGGCAGATGCGTTGATGGATTGAATTAGATGATTTTTGGCCACTTTACCTGGATACAAATTTGCCAAATCTGATACTGTGAAGAATTTGATAATTTTTCTAATACCTGACAAGTTTTTTAAAACATCATTCTCTTAAAATCATAACGGAGTGCTTTTGGTTATTAGAATATTTAATGTTCAAAGGATTTGGAGATTAAAAATTATGTGTGATCTGAACATCAGTTTACAGACAAATTAGAGCTTCATTTTATTCAAGGGGGGGGGGTTGGATTTTTTTTTTTTCTTAGTAATTTGAAGTAATAGTTTACCTACCAAGCAGGAATATTTGTGATTTGCATTCTGGGAAAATGATCCAAATTGAACCTGACTTCTTTCTCCCGTATAGATAACAGTAGTCCCATCTCTTTGCTGGGCTGAGTAGCCTAAGCCACCCCACCCCGTCTTTCTTTTTCAAACTTTAAAAAGATGTGAAAAACTCGCATCGCTGTGCATCTCCTCAACTCCCTGTGCACTGAGGCTTCAGGCTTCTCGTGAAGCTCAGTGGTGTAGTTGAAGTGACTGCACAGGACTTCCGTCTAACATGCAGGTAAATGATCGTTCACTGCACAGTACCAGATGTGGCAAACGTCAAGGGGCAGAGGACCCCGGCTTCTCAGCTGTCCCCTCCTAACATGCCTTCCCAGCGTCACGATCAGAGGTCAGCAGTCCGCTCCAGGGGCACCTCGGTGGTGACCTCAGCAGTAAGCTCAGTGGGCATCTTGGTGGCGGCCTCCCCATCATCCTGTCTCACTCGGAAACCGTTTGAAGTTGATTTACTATGCAATAGACATTCATCGTTTGTATTCAGCTAGCTTTGGTTTAATGTGCCACTGCTTTGTCTTTCTGTTACACATACAGTTGTTTTGACTTACAATATCTGCTGTGCCATTGCGATTTTTCTTTTGGTTGGTTGAATAAATTTGCGACACTCAAACCCTTGAGGTGACAGTAGTGGAAAAACGATTCAGTATTGATCCAGTTTCATCTCAACTATGTATGTTCCACTTGGACATTTTAGATGTTTATCAAAGGTCTTTTATGGGGAAGAAAGTAAATTTATGAAAATAAATGTGTGACATTTATGAGTAACGTTGGCTCTGAACAAACTTTTGAAAACTTAGTTGACAAAATTTTGGATCAACTGAAAAAAAACGCATGATTTTTGAAATCTCTGAATGCCTTAGTTCTCAGTATTACCATTATTGAATTTATTTCTTATTACAATATGTCGTTTTTAAGACTTTTTTCTGACAGTATTATGTAATTTTTTAGTGTGGGTAGATGGGAGTGTCGCTAGTATGTTACCGTACAGCTGACATGTATTTTTGTCTGTTCTTTATTATCTTAGTAGTTTCATGCTGTGTATGTACCATAACCAACCTATTGCCTATGAGAAACATGTAAGATAATGTATTTACAGCCATTGTTACAAGTTTATAATGTATTTTTCTATCTTGTTTTATATGTATGTTATATAACATTCAAAAAGAATTTTTTTCTTGATTGAGAAAAGGATACAAAATGCAAAATCCACAATTTTGATAACTGAATATTGCCAATTGTTTTGCAGTACTTTATTATATTGGGTGTCTTGTCTTTCTTGGGCTTTTAGTTACTTAGCTAATGAATGAATTCACGTTAGACACTTTTGGGTTTTAGTTGGGAATTTTACATAGCTTGCATTTTAATTCTTTGGTTCTTTGCTGTTTCTATTAACCCATAGCATTATTTTAATAAATGTTATAATACCAACCTACTAACTCTGACTTTGTCTGTTTATTAACCTTCACGTGTCTCATTAAACGCGTCAAGACAGAGCCACGTGAGGTCTCGAGCTCCTGGACTAACCCTGAAGAACTTGGCCACAGATAACCCACGTGACTTGTCTGCGTGTCGTTTGTCAGCCGCCAGGGCCCGGTCTGCTGCCTCCTCCTGAGGCGGCCCAGAGCCAGCAGAGCTTGGAACACAGCAGCGCTGGGGTGCGGGTTCCTCGAGTCTCGCCACCTGCCTCTCGGTGCCTCGGTGTCACTAATGCCGCACTCTCCCGTTCCTTCTCCGAAGTGGTCACTGTCTCTGCTCACGTGGCGGGTGGCCGTCTTGGGCCCCAGGAAGCCAGTTGGATTCGCTGGCGTTGAACCATCTCTCTCATTCAAGTAGATGGTTTTGTGGTCGTGTTACAAAGCCAGAAAATACGGTAGTTTTCACCTTTATTTCGATTTGTGTTTTAATGGGACGTTTTTCTAGTGTTGAGCTATCTCTGTCCCTGCCGGGGTTGCTCGGCGTAGTGTAAGTGGAGGTGGGGGGGGGGTCCTCTGCCCTGACCTACCACAGACCCCTCTTCCTTCAGGGCAGAGGGCGGAGGGCGGAGACGGCGGCCGGCTCCCCTGGGGTTTTCTGTCCCTCACGCCCCTCCGGATTTGGGCAGCATCCGTGAGTTCCGGGTGTTTGTAGAGTCAGGCCTCCCCTCGCTGAGCTCTGGCACGCGAGCCAGCTTAGGAGTCCGGAAACCTCTTGGTGCTTTTCTCTGCAGCAACTTGGCGGAGCTCCGATCTACCTAGGAAGTCTTCTGTGAAGCGGTTCTCCTAGCTAAGTTCTCAGGATCAAGTTTTGCATTTGTAAATAATGGATTATTTTTTGTTGTTGTTCGTTATTTTATTTCTATTCAAGTTCTACACTTGGGGCCGAAGGGGAGTCGCTTGTTAGCGAAGGCCTAACTCTCCCATCATCCTGCCAGCGGCCCGACTGTCCGGGCGAGCGCCTCGCAGTCTGTCATCTTTTGCAAAGCAGCTAGAACAGCCATCCCGGCTTATCTAATCACAATCAAGGTGGTTATTTGGACCCCACAGCTGTCACTGTTTCTCTGACTGGGGGATGCATCCTTGTCAGAGAGACAGCTCTCATATGCCGCGAAGGTTCTAATCACCAGCACCTCATTCATACATTATTCCGTAAAAATGGGAAACTGTCTGTCAAGCTGCTCACACACTGCCCGCATGGGGCCATGTCACTGCCTTGATGAGGAGTCTGTATGCAGTTTACTCCACAGTCTGCAACCTGTGAATGCAGTCTCATCTCGTGTCCTATTGAGGCACTGTATACCTAATTATGCCAGATTGTCACCTTTTGTGTTGGAAAAGTTGGAAAAGACAGTTTATAAAAGGTGTAAATACCCAAAGATTTGATTTTTGTGCAGGCTGTAATCCTATTAAACGTGAAATTACCCAAATTGGAGTGTGCTAAAGTCAGTCAGTATATGGTTTTATATTTTCATCTCAGAGAGCAGTTTAACGTCAAGCTTGTGGCCGAGAAGCTGGTGGGACTAATGCATTTGGTGGTTGGTCCTTTTATCGTTGGTGACGGGGGGGGGGGGTGGGGGGACAGTGGACCCTGCACCACAGCATGTCCCCAGGGTGACGGATGCGCCTGGAACAAGGCGTGCCTGACTGTGCACACATGGGGGGGAGGGGAGGGGCGGGGAGGTGGGGGTGGAACTTCCTGGAGAAATACAAAAGCTCCAGATTTTCAGTGCAATAAATGGACAATGGGTTTAACTGGGGTGGGGGTGGGGGGATGGTTACCAAATCAAGACCAGAAGCACAGGATTCTTTTTTAAATATTGTCACGACTTTCTTTGTATATTTTAAAATGGAATTTTAAAAAATTTCATAGACAACACTTTTAGAATCATTCATATGGCACACATTCATAATTTGATCTGTGATTTCTTTAAAATTATCTACATTGAAATGTCTTTGTCGTGACAAGACCTAAAATTACCTGCATTCCAACTCAGTGCTGAACCCAACGGGGTGATGTGAGCACAGTGCTTGCTCCCTCTCTGCTACACTAATGGGGGGGGGGGTGATGCTGGGGGTGGGCCGACATCTCACCCACATCCCCTCTCCCAGGACTTTGCTGCCTCCAAGGGAAAGCCCGACTCCTCTGAGTGCAAACAGACTTACTGTCTTTGGGAACGCATCAGTCCTGGCAGATTTGCCTTGTGCCTGTTGGAGGCCCTTAGGGCTGCCCTGCGGGAGTGGGGGGGGGGGGGCGCTGGGAGAATCGGGGCCGAGACCACACCCAGTCTGCTAAGCGGTCAGGTCGAGCGCCTCGGCCACCCTGAGACTGTACCAATACTGAAATAAAGGATGCACATTGTCGTCTTCAGGGTGTTTCTTCTGCCTCTCAAGAGGGAGGGTGGGACCTCTCGGGACGGTGATCGTGATACCACACCCCAACAGCAGCGCCCAATGCCCGGTGGGGTGGCACCTGAAGGAGCCGGCACTTCTGAGACACCCAGGGCCCCCGGAAGCGGGATGGCAGGCTTGCTGGAGCTTGCTGATGCCGGCTGTGCAAACGAGAGCCCTCTCTGTCTAATGCAGGAGTTGGTGCCACCACGGTGTCTTCCCATGGGGTGGGGGCAGGGGTCTTCCCCGAGGTTTCTTCTGGGGCTCTCATCCCTCAGGCTCCTGACACGGGGTTTGGGTGATAGTGCAGTGGGGAGGACACCTGGCCGAGGGTGTGAGCACAGAGCCGGGAGTAAGCCTTGAGCACTGCCCAGTGCGTGGCTCACCAGGCCGCAGGCTCTCCGCCCTGACGTGCTGGCGCCCAGCCCTCCGTGCTATCACAGAGGTTGGCCTGTGCCGGGGTACTGTTGTACTTCATGCAAACATTCAGGCGCTAAAGATGCGACGGTTTCAGTCTCCTGGCAGAGCGTTTCTTCAGAGATCCAAGTGTCTAGAAAGCTGCTTCCTGAGTGCTCACGCGGTGCCTGAGCAGAACTGGGCGCTGGTTTTTCCAGACTCATCACGCCCTGGGGCCTCCTCCCCTCCCTGCTGACCGTGTTTACCCCTCCTGCTGCTGAGCAGTCATTTGAACCCTTTCAACACCACAGGAGCATCGAGTGTAGACTGGGCTTTAAAGTCCCCCGCACCCCCAGGTAAATAACAGGTAAATACCGGTTCTAAGTCCATCAAAAGCAGCTGACCCAAACAAAACTCATGGAATGTGAATCTTTCACTGGGGAGGAATTTCTGTTACATGAACAGAGAAACGAAGTGGCCTTTGAGTTACTTGAATTTACTGTGATCATCTGCTGCTCTCAGAAAACGGCAGAACGAACGCAACAACTGACAATTAGTTCAAGGGCGGGTCAGGCCCCTGCGTGCAGCTGACCGGTTCCGCCCTGGCACCACATAGGATCCACATAGGATGGCATGAGCTCCGCCAGGAGTCAGTCCTGAGGAAGAACCAGTGGTGACTCCTGAGCACCACTTGTTTGGCCCCTAACCCAGAAACCCAAACTGCTCCCCAACATCTCAATGATTACAGACCTAAGAATATGAAAAATTTTAGCGATTGCGGTCACATCTTCCCCCAAGATTGTCTACCAGGGTTAGATTCTTCCAGTTCGAGGTGCATGTTCATAGTTCCCCCCATCGTGAACATGTTTACATGTCCTGCATCGGCCTTTTGGCGCTGCGGGTCAGCGCCCTGCATCCTGGTACCGGGCCAGGCGTGCACCCAGGTCGGTAGAGCTGTGCTTTCCCAGCTCTGCACCCCGCTCCACAGGACACCTCCTGTTCAAAGAGCGTCTCAGAATGCAGGCTGACTGTGGCCGCCACTTGCTTTCGGCTGTGGCTCCTCAAATGGGTGGGGTCACTGACTGTCACTGTCCTCCCGTTGTTCATCGATTTGCTCGAGCGGGCCCAGTAACGTTGTGAGACTCGTTACTGAGTTCGGCATATCGAGTTGGGGAACGCTCGCGGTGAGCCAGCAGGCATCCTCACAGCCCGTCAGGCTGACGCACGCCTCCCAACTCACTGCCCCCGGCTCCCGCGACCTCAGGCAGGGCTGGGAGCCCAGCGCCTGCTGCCCTCCCCGCTGTCACATGCACACACGCTGGATCCGGACAAGCCACGTTGCTTGCCGTTGCTCCCGACTTCAGCAGTTGGGCTTGAGGCACGGCACTTTCGTCCGTTCTCTCGAGGTCAGGGCTTGGAAAGTCGCTCCACCTTTAAGCGGATTTCGAGGTGATGGGAGTCTGTAGAACTTGAGCGGTGGAAACGCCCGAGCTACTCTCTGGAACCCAGATCTAAGCTGGTGAGTCAGAGAAGAAAACGCCATCGGGAGAGTTAAGAGTCCAAAGTAGGACCCAAGCGTCAGTTGCTTTGTGCTTGGGCGCGGAAGGGCCTCACCAGGGGCCATTGGCACCGATTGCTTCTCGCTGCTGAAGTGGGCTCACGGCGTGAGCCCCACCTGGGGCTCCCAAGAAGCCGGCCAGGGGAGATGGGAGGGAACTGTCGGTCAGCTGGACTGTGTTTTCATAAGGGCTCGCTCCGAGTCGACGTCACCCGGAAGCAGAGAGGCTCTGGAAGTCTGTGCAGGGGAAAGTGGGGTGGGGGGCAGCGTGGATGTGGAAACGGCAGGAGGCCACGTGTGGAGCTGGTGCCCATGGCGAGCGTTGCCCATTTGCCAGTGTGACCCAAAGAGCTGTCATGGCCTGGGCCCCACGGTTCTTCCTCCAGCCAGCCCTGCTGAGGGACCGCCAGAGGGGTTGGGCACCCAGACAGATGTCCATGGTTCCTCAAAGCCGCTGCCTGGCTCCCTGGGGAAGGTCTTTAGGAGTAGGAGCTGGGGGCCGCTGTCGGACCAGCAGGGTGGCCTGGGGGTGGGGTGACGCAGGGAGGGCAATGCACTGGAGGTCACTGCAGGCTGCTGGGGGCCAGCGGGGCAGCCACAGGGGGAGGGGGTGACGCGCTGAAGGTCGCTGCAGTGCCATGGGTGTTCAGTAGCTTCGAGACA